TAGTTTTCAGGATGGTGCTGATTGTGTGCTGGCCACGTTTGGCGACATCAAGCGGTCTGTGGATGGCTCATTTAGGGACTTGGTTCTAGAGTCCACAGATGCAGTGCAAGCCTCGGCAGGCTTGAGGGCGGTGTCCCACACGGGTCACCATGGTCATCATGGTCATCCTCATCATCATCATCAGCACACTTCCAGTAGCAGCAGCAGTGGTTTGATGAGGTCTACAACGGGCCCGCCTGTGATGGGAGGGGAGAGTGGCCCCACTCTGATGGAAGGAGGAGACGGCAGTACGGGTGAGCATGCCGCAAGGACGGCAGCAGATGGTGTACGCGTTCCCTTCTCAGGATCCCAACCGCGATCTGGCACTCCTCAGAGGATGCCTAGATAGTAGTGATGATGAATATTCGATATGCATTTATAATATTTGGGATAGTGCTACCGCTCCATCATCATCATTGGCGAGGATGATGGTGGTGGCATTGATGACAATGCTTGGGATCTGACGAAGCCCTTGTGTACCATAACTTCTCCATATCATCATCTTGGGGACGTCGTGGCATCACTCGCAAGACCCTCGCGGGCAGACTACAATGAGTAAAATAGAATTGATAACCATTGAAAGTGTTTTCTATAGTGGAGGAGTTGGGTTGCATGCCAAGGAGGGGGTGGAGAACAGCATTTGGTGTTGACTGTTGCATCGGACGAGTATAATGTCCTTCAACTGTTCTAACATCTCGAGGTGTCCTACGATATGTTAGAAGTGCAGGCCTTAGGGGTTGATTGGTAGGGCCGACGATGAGGAGTAGAGATGCTGTGAATGAGGAATGCGTATGTCGATTACCAATGCTAGTGGAGCTTTATACTACTAATATGGCAGAGGCTCGGTAGAATAGGTATATGCGAAGTTCCAAGGTCTTATCCAGTACTACTGAATCTAATCATCAGCTGCGCACTGTTGTACTTCCAAAGTCCCCTCAGCAGCAGCTCAGCTCAAGCGGTGCAGTGAGCGAAGGAGATGCCAAGCCGTCGGGGGAAGACCCTCCACCTGCTAACGTACACTACTGATAATGATGTTCTACCGTTGGAGTTGGGTTCTCCAGCCTAGCATTGCGCAAGTAGTTTTCACCCCAAGATGCTACGTAATGGCGGTGGCCACACAGCGGGCCCTACTACCTCCTCGTCATCATCCTATGCAGCTCGGGGAGAGGCATGCTTCCAGAGAATGGATAAATGCAATGCTGAAGTGCTGGCACTACTGTAGGTTTGGTTGCATCACCCGAGGGAAGTATTATTCACTGTGTTCACTCACTTCGACGTTGTTCCGCGTGAGCAAAGTTTACAAGCTTACCCCCACAAGGGGACGTCGGGAATGATAGGTTTCGGCCGACATCGTCTGGTCAAGTATGGGCAATCACATGCTAATTGTATATGCGAAGTTCTAGATCGACTCTGATAAATCTCGGGGAATATTCTTTCACGTTTGCATGCCAAACTGCCACACACTATATATCACAGACTGTGATATAGTGCGTGTCAGTTTGATAATCACATTGTCAGGTATGGTGCCACAGTGAGGCAGTTGTTGGTGGATTTTGAAGGCGACTTTGATAAGGTTAACAAGGAGCTGTACAGGATGGGTACCGATATCGGCGCTAGGCTGGTGGATGAGTTCCTCATCAAGAGTAGAGCACCTCCTTGTCAGGACTTCAGAGACGCGTGTGAGGTGATGCTTATGGATATGCTCTCACCGGGAATCGAACTTGCGCCCTATCCCTCAGGTTATGAGCAAAGTTGCATTGAAGATGTATCTTGGGGTAACCGGAGACTGTGTCGATTGGGACAACAGTACAGAAGGCAGGAAGTGCCGTTTGGTAACATCACTGCTTCGCTCCGCTAATGTCAACATATGCCTTCCATAGGTGCTCCCAGTGAACCCACTGAATGACTTTGTAGAGCTGCCAATGGAGCTGAGGCGCCCGGCATCAACAACAGCAGCAGCAGGAGGCACTGACCACCCTGGGCCTATCTTGTGAGTGCTGGGCCTTCCTCATCTCCATGGCATTCTCGTTAGACTAGTGGCAAATGCGACGCTCAGTTATAAACCATGAAATTACTCTACTTTTAACTGATGTAATTGGGTGTATAGAGTACGAGTCAGATAGACATTCTTAAGCAGGCAGAAGGCATTGAAGCTGCAAACCCACTCTGCGTTTTAGGTACTACAGCAACATACTGTGTGGTGTCATAGCTGGTGCGATGGAGCAACTTAGGATAAACGTAGCGATGAAAATAATTGGTTGAAAGATCGAAGGACGCTGATAATTATCAGGTTGCTGTCCAGTTCGAGAGTGACGTTTTACTCGGGGACGAGATATCGGTGATCAGTCTTGAACTTCTGGAGGTAAAGAGGGAGATGCCGAGGCTGGGAATCGAACCCACGACTATTTTCGTTCAGATTATCACCGATGATATCCACGAAGACTCTGATAGTGACGCTGAGTAGACAGAGAAAAGCATTCCTTCTCTATATCGTTTCTATGTTGTTGTGTGTTGGATTAGTAATGGGAAGATTCTGTGACGCAATTGGTTTCTACTGTGAACTCCGCCCACTGCGTATTCCCTCACCACTCAAGCCTCGGCAATCTGGCAGGTTCAGTGAATGCCCCCCGGGTAGAGTTGCCGGAGATCATGCTGTGCTATCGAGTTTCTCATTCATTGCTGGTCTCTGCCGAAGTGCCGGCTGACCTACGACATGATATCGTTAGTGTGCGATGAGTACATTATGTCCTCAGAGCATCACATTGTTAGCCAGGATGGTCGAAAACTCCTAGGTATCATGTTTCCGAATAAGAAAACAAAATCAGTGTCCAAGCGCCTCCATAAAACACCTCTTACAATAGTCAGTATCTCTTAACAGTGGTTGAATGAGAAGTCAATCTCACAAGGGTTCATATATGGAGCGTGATAAGTGGGGGTATACATTACATACATCATAATCGGATCTCACAGATGGCCAACATCTAATGATGCGATGTCAGGATGGGAACGATTATAAACGGAGATCTGATAACTAACAATGACCATTATCCCAAACCATTCGCATTCCTTCGATGCTTGCGAAGTGAACATACTAGAAATAAATGTCCACGAAGAGCAAGAACAGAATATGGCGATAGTAGTGACGTCACTCGGAATACATAGAGCCGTTGAACAGAGCATGCACGGGGAATTATGCACCGACCTGGTGTTAGTATAGACGAACTTTGTAGGTAATGATACATATCCCCGATGCCGTAGCACAATCGGGGAGATAACACTTTATTATTGTCTCAAGCTTCGTATCAAGGAGTTCTCGTTTTTGTTCCCCCTACTCAACTGTGGATTTCGCGGGATGGCAAACCCAACCCAGTGCTGTGTAACTGCCGAACTCAGAAACTCTGTTGATAAGCTCACAAGAAACTAGGAAGACACCGGTAACGAAGTCAATCCATTTGGATATCCTCAACTGCCGAATCACTCGATGATGATGATGATGCCCCTCTGCCTCGTCGTGCTTCGTTACCAGCTGCCTACACACGGCGACGATTCCACACAAAGGAGACAACTTACGAGTCACCTCTTCTAGAAGGATCCGTTGTATTAGTGGATCTTCATCATCATCAATCTCGAGATTCCCTCGATCTCCCAAGTCGTTGACCATCCCATTCTCCTCTTCCTCCTCTCCTTGGTCCACAGGCTGAGGTTCCCCTCCTAGACCCAACCTTTCGGTGATCCGATCTAGAGCTCCTCGAATGCCAGCCGTGATGTTTATCTGAGAACGAGTTATAACAACTGAGTGACAGCATGATATTCCTACCGGTTCGGCTTCAGTGCCAGTGTAATCCACACGTGACCAAGGCATGAGGCTCTGGAGAAATGCGACAACAGGATTCGACTCTAGGGATACATTAGCTCGACTGGCATCTCCTCCATTACGACGGAGATCAGTGCCGTAAGTCTTGAACAACTGAGGGAAATTCAAACATCCATTAGTGTTGAAGAATCTCAGCATCCTAACCTCATTGTCGGCTTCAAAGAGAGCCCTTGGGAGCATCGGAGAATTGACGGTGAACTCCGACTTGGAAATGTCAGAATACCTTCCGACTAGATCAGGCAGAGTGCTCGTAGACCATCGCCTTCTAACAAGCTCCAGGTCTGGACTCAGCTCAACCTGCCAAGAGTACACTATCTTGCAATCTTGCATTTCCTCAACGCTAATGTGGTACCAGCCGTTGACACGCAGAGAAGAGCCACTCCTGCAACTGTTCGGGTTTCCATAATTGCCACGCTTTCTCGGCATAAGCTTCCGCCATAAGGAGGTGGATCGAGCCGAATTTTGCATGCATGAAGTATCTGCACACGAGAGACTCACAGTTGTTCACACTGTTACATGACGCACGTTCGAGCATCCGAGAACGGGGGGTTCCTAAACAAATCTTCCCAAGGTTTATGCCCCGGGCCTGATAGAGGACTTGACATCGCTATCAACAGTGTTCGCACAGTATACGGGAACCTGACGGTATGCAGGAAGTCAACGCCGTGAGTGTAACGAAGCCTCTCACAGGAGTATGGCTTTCATGAGCGCCACCGAAGCATCTAATGCCGAGTCGCCAGTCGGAGCATCTGAGAGATAAGTTATCACACAGAATAGACTTGAGCCCCTCACCAGTGATGATGAGTGTTTTCCGCAAGTCCTCGGCCGTGACCCGTGGTATAGCGGCTGAAGCCTCCTCGGCAGTCGGTAACTGTTGATATCGCGCCAACGCTTCCGAGAACCTACGCCGACACATGAAACTAAATAAGGTTGATAACTACTCACGCGAAGTTTGGCATTGCGAGATCGAGAGCTGAGTATTGGACTTCCTCAGGAGCTGCAGGTGGCAATGACGCGTAGGACGCTACGAAACGGTGAAGCCAATCGTATTCGTGGCTGCGGATCTGAAAACGAGGAGGATGGCAGTTGGGATCAGGAACAGGAAGGCTACAGCATAAGTATCAACGTGCATGAGGGCATGAACTCTATCCTTCTCGTCATCCATTAGCAGTAGTAGTTTGAAAATCTCCAAAGCTGTACGAGTGCAGCCTTGACCAGCCAGTAGCAAACCGTGAACCTACAATGGAGTCCTCCTGAAGGCGTGATCTCGGGAAGGGAGGCTCACCAACAGAGTCCTTAATGCGAGGATTGTGAAACAGTAGTAAGGGTCCTCCTTGGACAGCCGCAGTGAGGCTACTAATCCCACTTCTTCGTTACCGGTAGGATGCTCTGAAATTCGGGACGATCAGAATAGTCACAGCGCGACTCTCCCCTGTCCAAAGGCTAAATGTGTGTTATTCATCCGTCCTTACTTCCCTTAGCATGTCGCTTCTTGCCGCTGCTATTTTTCTTCTGATTCTTGTGCCCAGTATTAGACTCCATGAAAGGATCGAATAGGGGATGAGTGCTGCATTGTAGAACATACAGCCCTCGCCGCAGGAGCTGCCCGGCACGCTCGAACTCCCGATGCTCCCGGTAAAGGTCCGTGATAGCTAGTATCTGATGATCGGCCTCGATGAACAGCGATTGGACGCAGGAGTGGTACTGAATGAAGATGGAAAGGGTTCTTCTGGAGAAAGTATATGAGAGAATCCACGTCCGAGGAGGCGACCTGAATGGGAAAAACGTAGTCGCCAGGGATCGAACCAGGGATCTTACAATTTCGCAGTAGGTGTCCATAGACTTCAAATAAGAGTTGCTCGGCTCTAGATAGAACTGAGCTCTATCCTCTCCACTGGATGTACTGCTCCCTGACGGAGAGTATCTACAGTGATCATTCGAAAGGTCCCCGGTTCGATCCTAGCATGGTACACTTTCATCATCAGCGTCGCATCCTTCACTGCAGCTGGGCTCGGCCACATCTCCTCCTCCTGGTTCATAGGCCAACCATGCAACAGCCACGACTTCTTCTTTAAGTTCGCACTGGATCGAGCAGCTGTCGCCACCCCCATTCCCCGGGGGTTCATGATCCGATTATGCGAGTGAGTAGCAGTGTTCTCAGCTCGAACTCCCAAGTTGTAAGCCTCAGAACCGAAAATGCCTGAAGAGGTCCCGGGTTCGAACCCCGCGAGCCGCATCTCGACTCACGCTTGATCTCAGTCTGTGGATTTAGATTGCCACGAGCAATCCTCAGCAATGGCTCAGATGAAGCTGCTGTCGTCGATGCAGGCGAATCTGAAATATAGACTGATCTCGGTTGCGAATAACAGTCAGAATAAAGTGCACGCGCTGGGAATCGAACCCGGGTTACTCTTCTTCTCGTCAGCCTTCGAAGCTTTACTGCTTTTGCCTCGCTGCTGTGGAGGAGTGCTCTTCTTCTTCTGGGTATGCTTCTGCGGCGTCTTGCTCTTCTCTGCCACCACCACCGCCGGCGCTGCCGGAATCGTTTCCTCCTCTTCGTCACTCGAAGAGGTATACTCATCATCATCGTCATCACTATCTAGTGCTGCTGCGAAGACGTTCTTATCTGAAATCATTCAAGGTGCTCTGATGAACCGACTCGATCGTCATCATCATAGTTACACCGCTTGGGAGATTCCTCGACCGTCAGCTCTCCTTCCCCCTCAGCGAGAGCAGGGACTGATCCTTCGAAGTCTCCTTCCTCCGCCAGACGGAGTTGCTTGTTAATCTGTCGTCTACTCATAACACAATTGCTAACCTTTTCCATGGTCCCGACCACCACAACGCAACGATCGTGCAATTTTAAATCAATTGTGAAGATAATCATGAATACCAGAAAGCAGTCTTCGGTTATCACTAGAGCGCGAGGTTATCACTATATCGTCCTAAAGGCCGCTAGTAGAGCTTCTCGGACTGCCTTCAAACAGGAACGGCAGCTCGCTATCTCCAATATGCTATCGACTACTACTACTGCTGCTACTGCTTTCCGAATGAGAAAGGGCTACTCGGGCGGCAAAGAGCTCCTTCACTATTTCAAGTAGTGAAAATTATATGACAACGAACCGACTTCGCCTTCGAGATCAATTGTTTTCCACAGCGATGCTACTGGGTCCCTTCCTCTCGAAAGAGTAGAAGGAAAAAGAAGAGACACACGCAAACTGGAAAGAGGCCGAATACAAAGCATCTCGAAGCCTCGAGTAGAATACTCGCATTCTCATCAACAACTTGAATACAACATCAACAACATCCGGAAATGCAATGATCATTAGTAATCATCTCATGAATGGATCATGGTGAGTTCCGTCGAAGTTGGGCCTCAACTGTATCTTGCACACTCAACCCCAAGATTCCACCTTCCCTTCCTCCTCTACGAACCCAAACACGCGCGCCAGGTAGACCTTGCTCGAGTCTGCGTGTCAGAGGGTTCCGTCACCACGCCACGAAATTATTACCGAAATTTCCCAAATAAACATTTAAATTCCTGGTCGATGAAAACGAGGTAAACTATGATTTCTTCAAGTATCGCTTCGCTGTCCTCATCGTTTCTTTTATTTTCCCATACAGAAAGCCCCTGACTGTCCTACGAGAGAACTCAGCGAGTGCAGAGCTGGAGTTGCAAAATATCTTAGGTCCAGCTCGGTAAGATACAGAACAGGTCCCCACTACCACTACCCCTCGCTCCCTCTCCACGCCCGACCTTGCTAAGCTAGCTGTCCGCAAAATTAACCGCTGATCAACTCTTCATTTTAAACCGTCTTCATACTTTTCAAGGAACCACCATCTTTGACCATCTACAATGCAGCTATTACACAATCTCAACACCAACCTCAATAGGCGAGCTCATGTATCACACATTGCTCCCTCGGCAGTTATGCAAGGACTATGCTACTCCTCTACTCATATCATTACAATGACCCACTCCTCCGTTATTCCCTGTCTAGATCGACTATCTTCTATCTCCATCACAGCCCCCGACACACTTCGAATCATCTGACATCCTACTTCCACGCCACTCCATAACAAGATCACCATTCCGCCGTTCAACTGAATGCTCTGCTCACACGCTATCATACCTACAATTTCCATGCTCAACTTTGGATGCTTTCTAAGCTCGACCGACGCCACCATGACCTCTGAGCTGTCGAGATAGCAATATTAAGACCATCTTGATTTCGATTGTCGAATGAAAGATATCCCCCGATGAGAACCTCTCCACACGACATGTCGTTGTGACAAAAAAGGCTGCTGACTGGCATACTACTCAAGATTGATTCGCAAGAGAGGTCGAGCAACGCACGTGACGGTTGGAATGACCAACATCGCGAATTGGTGGGAATGAACTCAAATTTTGTTTTGACAGTTTTGATGATCCATAATTGGAGTTGAATCGGAAGTCTCGTGATGCATCACCGAAAAGGCTGACCTCGATCCTCACAGAATTCAAGAGAGATTCTAGTCAACTCAGAGAGATGACGTTACGAGATATATGGGCCAAAAAGACCTCTACGCATCTAACCAGAATCGAACCAGATACCTCGCCCTTGACGACCGTCAACCTTAACCACTACACCACATTACTCGTCTCCGTGCCGATATATTTTTTATAGCTTCCTCCTTCCTTTTCTTTTCTTCCGCCGCATCAGCTCCCTCCGCTGCCAATCGTTTGGTCTTGACCTACAGAAATTTTTCGAATGGTCCCACCGATAAGAAGCAATACTGGGGTGGAAGGACCAGAGTCTCCCATCACAAGTACATGACGTAGCACTAGCATCCACGTAATATACCAATTGAGTGCTGCCAGTGCTAACACCTGAAGACAGAAGATTTCTAGTCGACCTCGTCGGATACGACAATGATAGAAATATGGTGATAGGAAGAGCGAAAACTGGCCAAGGGCTACGCAAGGTGTTAGAGATCATCAAGGCGACGTCGACGGAGGCAATTACGATAGTAATTACATTACTGAGCATGTAAAGAAGTCAACTAAAAAGACCTGTCATAATACAGTGCCGCTGTGAGCCTTATATATTATGCACGGTCTATATTAATGCGAGGCGAGATGAGGGATGAGTCAAAGTTTCAACGGGCTTTTTAGGTGATCACTGCAGGAACACTCCTGTGGGGTCGGAATTTTCAGTTTAATTCAGAGTGGAAATCCCACTGTACATGTTGCAGCGACGCATCCGTCCATTGCTGAGTGTGTTGCCCGAGCATTAGCGACCGAGATTGGTTGAAGGACGATCTGTCACATTTTCGGGCGAGCGCGATACTGTCGCACTGGTTGTGATTCGCTAAACCGCGGCGACCATGCCAATTTCGCTTCAGAGTTGGTATCAGTTTAGTGACCACCAGACATGTCCGAAGGTTCAGTCAAGAACGGATGGATGGAAGGCCGAGGGAAGTACACCTTCCCAGACGGCACGGTGTAATACTGCACCTACTCTGCGCGGTGTGCCAGGGTCGATATTAGATATTCTGGCACCTTCCTCAATGGTGAATTCCATGGGGAGGGACGTCTTACCTTTCCTCACGGTGGTGCCTTCATTGGACAGTGGCAGAAGGGCATTGCTGTAGATGGCGAGTAAGGCGTAGAGGTTCACCTTGGAGATGCCGTGCTTCGCTGTATATGGAGTAGAGTAGTACTAGAAAGTGCTAGGGCTGTAGGGAAGACGATAGCTACAGTCGCTGTTAAGGTTCTTGAAGAAAATTGGCTTTTTTCTCAACTCATTTTTAGCTCGGAGGAACGTCTCCGGTTTTCGCTGCGAATTTCACATGATGGTCTCGAAATCCGCACTGTAGTTGATACACTGCCCTGATTCCGCCCTGCTTTGTATCTTGTATGATTCGACCTCAGATACGTTTTTAAAGATGGGCTTGTATTCAAGGATGAGGACTGGGGTTATCTTTGCAGCGGAGATCGAAGATTTCATAACGAGATAGTCAATGGCTTGCGGCCTGCGGGTGCATCTTTGATAACCAACGATCCCAAAGGGCCACCAGATATGCCAGAAGGTGATCACTATGGGAGTGTCGCTGGTCTGTTCGCATCTCCTCTTCCCTAGGGTGCTACGATGTCGGCGATGGCTATTTCGACCCGGTGAGGGCCGTGACATTGAGCTATGACGGAACGAAGGTCATTGGGACACCTGGGGAGGAGGAGATAAAATGGATTACGGAAAATGCCATGTAATGGTGGTAGGCGTGTTCCGAACTCCACTTTGGCTTTTCAATAACGAATACGATCCGCATAGATTGATTAACTCTTTAGGGTGAGATTCGCTGAGGATGAGGTCAGGCATGAGGATGTGTAGTATAATATCACCACGTTGAAGTCCTTACCCTGTTGTCACTATAACTGTAATGTATCGCGTTGAATGATCGGTCCAATCATGGGAATAGCAGGGATACTTTTTCACTATGGATGCATTACCATTGACTCAAGCAAGGTCTGTATCGGATGCATCAGACATCCCTACAGTTGAAGACACGGCCAGCGTCGTCACCAATGCTGCGGTGGAGACCGACAGTATAGCCAGTGTAAGGGACAGTAGTGTATCATCCGAAATGGAGGAGCATGATGCGGACCATCTGGGAGTTGACGGAGTATCTTCTCTCGATTCGACCGCGAAACCGACGGAGAGCGGCGAACTGGATAAACCTGTTGAAAAAGAAAGCAGCGAGCGTAACCGGAGTGAATCATCGGATGTGGCAATGTGCCGCATATGCGGACAAGGGGTCGAGGAGGGACCTCTCTACCATCCATGTCGGTGTTCGGGTAGCATAGCCTACGTACATGAACAGTGTCTCAGGAGATGGCTAGCAATGCGACGTACTATGGGGTATATATTTAGGCCTTTTTCTACGTGGATTGTAGTCGTTGTGGTCATCTAGAGACGCCCTATCTGCGATTGTTCTTAACCTCTCTGGCAGGTACGGGACGGACTGATGATGATAATGATGGCACATTCATTTTGGAGGATCAGCGTTGCGAGCTATGTGGACATAAGTTCTCCTTCCGAGTGGTGTAATAAGATGGGGTCGATCTTGCGACCTTTGGATTACGCTGGTTATGTGCAGGTACGCTCCCAATGCGCCACATCGTCTGCCTATGAAGTATCTCTTCACCGAGACTTGGAAGTTGATATTTTCTATTGTCAAGAAGTGCCTTCGTCCTCTCTATGCGTTTACAATATGGCTGGTAATATCGGGCTGGCCGACTCGTCTCTCGCATCATTACGTACTCCGTCATCGGATGTAATTTCATGGCGCAGTGACGCATTTCAGGTACTACTGCCGTTGGTGTCGATGACCGTACTGGTAGACGTTTTTGGTGTTATCGATGGCTTTCCGGATCGTCTTCAAATGTAATTTCGTGGCGCGTGACGGACTTCGTGGGCCGGCTTGTGAATGAGCCTCTACCATATCATCAGATACGGCTTCGTCCTTGGCCCGAGCTCGTCCAGTGACAGTCGAGTACCTTGGTTAGCCTTGGTGTTCAGAAGGCCGATGTTGGGGGTGTTGTGCGGAGGGATAGTCGTTTCTATATGCGGTTTTGGACTGCTGCAATTGTGGCTGCATACGCGGATAGCAGCCGTCCCAATGGTGGTGCCTACGGAGCCCGGCGATGAGCGCCCCAGGGTCATAGAGAGGAGGAGGAGGAGACCAGCAACACCGACAGGAGGAGCAGGAGAGAATGCTCACGAGGTTGAGGTGGATAACAACGATGATGAAGATCATCATGACGTTGGTACGGCTACTACGACAGTAGATGGCAGCGGCACTGCTGAGGAAGCGGAGATTGAAGTCAGGCTTGAGAGTAGGGACTAGGGGGGGGGGAGGTTGGTAGTAGAGTAGTGTGGACCATTCTTCCACTTCTTAGACCTAATCGGTTTGGAAGGCAGCTTGGGACCATCGATTTCAACGTGGTTTGTGATGCTCTACGCCAATTACTATAGCCATGCTCGCTC